TTGTCCATTGTTTTTGTTGTTGTTGGACTCATTGTTATTTTTGCTCACCCCCACACTCACCGCCACACTCACCGCCACACTCACCCCCACTCTCACCCCCACACTCACCGCCACACTCACCCCCCACCACACTCACCCATTCATTCGCTCGCTCACCCCCACACTCACCCCCACACTCACCCCCACACTCACCCCCACACTCACCCCCACACTCACCCCCACACTCACCCCCACCCATTCATCTGCACTACGAGGTTGACCAATAGGTCCAGGCAGGATCAGTCACCGGCACCACCATCATCATCATCACCACCATCACAACCAACACTGTCATCACAACCACCACCATCATCACCACCACTACCGTTGTCGTCGTCGCCACCGTCATTATTATCACCACTACCACCACCAACATCACCACCGTCATCGCCATCATCATCGTTGTCATCGTCGTCACCATTGTTGTCGTCATCGTCGCCATCACCACCACCGCCGTCATCGTCATCATCGTCGTCATCAACATCATCATCGTCGTCGTCATCGTCGTCATCGTCGTCACAGTCGTCATGGTCGTGGTGGTGGCCCCGCACTCGACCTGAAGTAGACCTTGTCGGGCCGCTCCTCCCGCAGGCGCGCCAGCAGCTGGACGGCCTCGGCGGGGTGCACGAGGCTCACGGCCACCGTGGCGGCGCCGGCCCACGCCAGCGGGAAGGCCACGCCGTAGGTGCCGTCCCCTCGGTCCGCGTACCGCACGGCGGGGACGGCCGCACGGCCCACGGGGACCGAGAGCAGACGGGCCTGGGGGGACGCGTGGAGACACGGGGGGACACGTGGGGAGACGTGGACACACACACGCGTGGAGACACGGGGGAGACAGGGGGGACGCGTGGAGCGGGGGGACACGTGGGGAGACGTGGGGGGAGATATGGGGGGAGACACGGGGGAGACGCGGGGGAGACACGGGGAGACGTGGACACACACGCGGGGGGAGACACGGGGTGACACGGGGAGACGTGGACCACACGCGTGGAGACACGGGGGGAGACACGGGGGGAGGCGTGGAGACACGGGGAGACACGTGGGGAGACGTGGACACACGCGCGGGGAGACACGGGGGGAGACACGGGGGAGACACGGGGGGAGACACGGGGGGAGACACGGGGGGAGACACGGGGGGAGACACGGGGGGGACACGGGGGGAGACACGGGGGGAGACACGGGGGGAGACACGGGGGAGACACGGGGGGAGACCGGGGGGAGACACGGGGGGAGACACGGGGGGAGACACGGGGGGAGACACGGGGGGAAACACGGGGGAGACACGGGGGGAGACACGGGGGAGACACGGGGGGAGACACGGGGGGAGACACGGGGGGAGACACGGGGGGAGACACGGGGGGGAGACGGGGGGAGACACGGGGGGAGACACGGGGGGAGACACGGGGGGAGACACGGGGTGGGACGACACGGGGGGACGTGTGGAGACACGGGGGGAGACACGGACCACACACGCGAGGGGGGGGAGACACGGGGGAGACGCGGGGGGACGTCACGGGGGGACGGAGACACGGGGGGGACACGGGGAGAGTGGACACACACGCGTAGAGAGACACGGGGGGACGCGTGGTGACACGGGGGGAGACACGGGGGGGGGGACGGGGGGGGGGGACGGGGCGGGAGGGGCTGCGTGGCTCCACCACCTCTAGGAAGTCTCCGCCGTAGCCCTTGGGGCGGCCCAGGTGGCTCGTGCGCCCGCACCGTCACCCCCAGCGTGCGCCACCACCAGCCGCCCCGTCGGGGACGTTCACCTCCACCCAGCTGTGCGCTGCGGATGTGGTGGCCTGGGGGGGGGGGGGAGGGGTGGAGGGGGGGGGGTGGAGGGGGGGGTTTGGTTGGGTATTGTGCAGCGGAAATTCTCTTCCCGCATTCATCCCCACGGATCGTCTCCCACTCTCCGTTGGCTCTCCTCCCGTCTCGCTGCACTACCAGACAGCCCCCGCTGTACGGCACGCGGTCACGGTCGTCATCATCGTCATCATCGTCGCTTTCTTTCGTCCATTCGGTGACGCATTGGGGGGTCAAACGCCACCACCCCCGATCTCGTGTGAGGTTTTTTTCTTCTGCTCACAACAAACATCGACTCGAAATCTGCTGTCGTTTAAAAATAAAATAAATAATTTCGTCCCACTTGCACCGCTCTGGTCCACACTTTCACCCACTCACCCACATGTCCACTCACCCACTCACTCGCCCACCCACATGTCCACTCACCCACTCACTTCCCCCACCCACATGTCCACTCACAACCACTTCACTAACTCACCCACATGTCCACTCACCCACTCACTCGCCCACCCACATGTCCACTCACCCACTCACTCCCCCACCCACATGTCCACTCACCCACTCACTAACTCACCCACATGTCCACTCACCCACTCACTCACTCACCCACATGTCCCACTCACCCACTTACGCGCTCACCCACATGACAACTCACCCACTCGCCCACATGTCCACTCACCAACTCACCCACTCACCCACATATCCACTCACCCACTCACTCATTCATGCACTCGCCCACTTACACACTCACTCACGCAGCCACTCACCCACCTATTTACCAACTCACCCATTCACCCACCCAGTCGCCCCCCTCACTCATGCACTCGCCCACTTACACACCCGCCTACGCAATTATTCATGCACCCACTCACACACCCATACATCCTCTCATGCACCCATTCACTCACGAAACCCACTCATTCACTCACTAAGCCACTCATTCACTCACAAACCCACTCATTCAACCACCCACTCACACACTCGCACACACACCCACCCACACTCTCAACCACCCACACACGTGCCCGCACTCACTCACTTATCCACTCACCCATTCACTCAAGCACCCACCCACACACCCACCACACACCCACCCACACTCTCAACCATCCACTCAACCACCCACTCAACCACCCACTCACCACGCACTCAACCACCCACTCAACCACCCACACAACCACCCACACAGCCACCACTCAACCACCCACTCTCAACCACCCAGGCAACCACCCACCCTACATAAACCCAGGTCAAACTGAAACTTTTATACATTTGCTTACACGTTTGCATGTTTGCCACCATCCAAACGTATTTTGACTACCAGCTCGGCTACCGTTCTGCTACGTGTCAAGACACGTGTAGTATTTCACCAAACATGATTGTCAACATTAACTTATATGCCTTGGCACCCCCAGGGTGCCTTACGCCACATTATAGAACCGCAGAGCTTGGGCAATCACTGGGGATTTGAATGTTACCCTCCCCCCCCACCCACTTTGCATGCAAGGGTTTGTCTCGGGTTTCTTTCCACGGTGGCCCGCAGATGTTGACTACCTCGCCTGGTATACAGGAGGTCGTGGGTTCGATCGCGACCCTGACGTTGCCTGCTGTATATTTGGAGTTTGCATGTCTCTCTCTCATCATCATCACGGTGGCTAGGAGATCTCAACTACCTCGCCTGGTCTACAGGAGGTCGTGGGTTCGATCCCGACCCTGACGCCTGCTGCTGTATATTTGGAGTCTCTCTCTTTCTCATCATCATCACGGTGGCTAGATGTTAACTACCTCGCCTGGTATACAGGAGGTCGTGGGTTCGATCGCGACCCTGAAGATGCCTGCTGCTGTATATTTGGAGTTTTCGTGTCACTCTCTCATCATCATCATCATCACGGTGACTAGGAGATGTTAACTACCTCGCCCGGTCTACACGAGGTCGTGGGTTCGATACCGACTGCTGCTGCTGCTGTATATTTGGAGTCTGCATGTCTCTCTCTCTCATCATCACGATGGCTAGGAGATGTTGACTACCTCGCCTGGTCTACAGGAGGCCGTGGGTTCGATCGCGACCCTGAAGATGCCTGCTGCTGTATATTTGGAATTTGCGTGTCTCTCTCTCTCATCATCATCACAGTGGCTAGGAGATCTCAACTACCTCGCCTGGTCTACAGGAGGCTGTGGGTTTGATCCCGACCCTGACGCCTGCTGCTGTATATTTGAAGTTTTCGTGTCTCTCTCATCATCATCATCACGGTGGCTAGGAGATGTCAACTACCTCGCCTGGTCTACAGGAGGCTGTGGGTTCGATCCCGACCCTGACGCCTGCTGCTGTATATTTGGAGTCTCTCTCTCTCTCATCATCATCACGGTGGCTAGGAGATGTTGACTACCTTGCCTGGTCTACAGGAGGCCGTGGGTTCGATCGCGACCCTGAAGATGCCTGCTGCTGTATATTTGGAGTTTGCGTGTCTCTCTCTCTCCGTGGTCGCGTGGACTTTTCTCCGGGTCCTCTGGTTTTTTTCCCTCTGATGAGAACTGGGCATGAGCCTGCCAGCAGGGGGCGGTCTTGCTTTTCCCAAACCGAGTAAAAGCAGCTTCCTCTCCTGCTTCTGCCGCAGAGGTCACAACCGGGTACCCGATACCCGTACCCTACACGATACCCGGCTACCCGTACCCGGCCGGGTACGGGTAGCCGTTTGCGACCCTGGTGCGGCTGGGTACGGGTAGGCCGTGAGTCACTGGTGAGTCATCGTTTGTCACTCATTTCCCAACGTCTCGTCTCTTCTCACAATTCAAGTTCCTAGAATCAACCCACCCGCGCCTGCAACATGGCTTCATCCCAGAGGTCGCATTCAGGTACCCGATACCCGTACCCTACCCGTACCTGACCGGGTACGGGTAGTATTCTTAGGTTTTTTCGGTAAAGTCACGTTTTACCTACGTGACTTTACCGAAAAAACATAAGAATATGAATCCTTGCAGTCACGAAAGCTTCAAATCTGGGTACGGGTAGGGTACGGGTACGGCCGGGTACGGGTACCCGTTTGCGACCCTGGTGCGGGCGGGTACGGGTAAGGAATCAAAACCCGTTTGCGACCTCTGATACAAACGTTGATTCTGAATGCGTAGAGGCGAGGGTGAAACCCGGCAGCCCAAACCTCGTAGGCCACAGGCCACCGTGGCGGAGAGGGCCAGCGTAGCTCCCGCATCAGGGCCTCATCCTCGGCCTGCTCCCGGGGGCTTGGGGTCGGGGGACCCGCCGGGCGAGTCCCAGGCTGCGCGCGGCGCCAGGCCTCGTCTGGAAGCTTCCAATGCACCTGCACGCGCAAGCACGCAGGCAAAGACAAAGGTCACCCCCGCCGCCTAGGTAGCCTCTAACGGGCTGCCGGGGCAAGTGCTGTTCGAGGAGTGTCTCCCACCCCCCCCCCCCCCCCCCGCCAAGGGAGGCGATGTTTTACACGTCGCACCAGGAACTCGTCACGAGGCCGAGGCGACCTAGGGTAGGCCCACGACCTGGTGGGCGGTGGCCGTGGCGATCGAACTCGGGTCACTGGCGGGTTCGTAGCGCAGCGCGCTAACCGCTGCACGACCACTCCCCACCATTACCAACAACCGCGCCATTCGCCACTAAGTGGCGGTGACGTCACCACGGCGCCTGTGCCAGGCTATGTGCACCTTGAGGCCACGTGAAGTGTCGAAAGGCTCGCTGACATCAGGTCTTGGGACAGACCTGGCAGGTGCCGTGGGTTGGTTGACTAAGATGACTGGTAGATGCACCACCAGCTGTACCCCCTATAGTGCCAACTTGCTGCGTTTAATTGCCCGGCGCTCTTGCGAGCGTCACTCCTCCGCCCCCCGTTGTTGCTGGAGGGCGACTGCCTCCAATTGCCCAGCAGCGTCCTTCACGAGCCTCCTCCACAGAGGCCGATCGTGACACCGCTGGTACCAATCATCGGCAAGTCCACTCAGCTCCACGTCCTCCTGTACCACATCACTCCATCTCCTCTCTAGCCCGTGCTGCGCCCGTTTAGCCCCCTCGATCCGGCCGAACAAAAGCTGTTTAGGCATACGGTGGCTGGGCATGCGGGCTACATGACCCAGCCAACGCAGGCTTGCCTGCCGGAGGAGCTCACCGATGGGACTTTGCCCAGATCTTTCATGGATTTGTGAGCTCCTCACACAATCCAGCCTGCTTAAACCCAGGATGGATCGTAGGCAGGCCAGCCTAAATGTTTCCAACCGGCGAAGATGTTCCATTACGGGGGTCCACGTTTCACAAGCGTAGAGAAGGGAGGGAATGACTGTGGCCGAGAAGACTTGAAGCTTCGTGCGGAGCGACAGACCAGGTAGCTTCCACACAGCATTACGCAACCGATGAAAAGATATTGCCGCTCGACTGATTCGGAGTGAGACCTCTGCTGTTAAACCGGAGCCGGGCATGAGCACACTGCCCAGGTATGGGAAACTCTCCACTCTCTCCACTACTGCCCCATCACCGATTGGAAGTTGTGGGGGTGGAGTGTCCGATGGTACAAAATACCCAGGCAGGTGCCTAGTTTTGGTGGGGCTGATGGTAAGGCCCCACCTCTTAGTGGCACTCTCCACATGGACGGACACAGATGGCCAAACATACACACACAGACGGACAAACACACACACACTCAACAACCGCCATTCGCCACTAAGTGTCGGTGACGTCACCACGACGCTTGTGCCAGGCCAAGTGCACCTTGAGGCCACGTGGAGTGTCGAACGCCCGCTGGCAGGAGGTTACGGGGCAGACCCAGCAGGTGCCACGGGTCGACTGACCGAGATGACCGAGATGACTGGCTGATGCACCACCTGTGCCCCCTACTGTACCAACTTGCTCTCACACACTCACTCAGACGGACACGCGGACACGGACGGAGGGACGATACCCGCACCGTGATCCAGATGAGCACGGCGGCCGTGGCGAGGAGTGAGGACCATCCGCGGAGAAGACGCATCGAGAGGGCATTCATCCCTGCGGCAGAGTCGCACACAAAGACAAAGGTCCCCCGCGTAGCCTACACAGAACCCTGCACGAGCGAGTGAGTGCGAGTGGAACACACTGGCACGCACATACACGCGCGTACGCCTGGTGAACCGGCAAATCACTCACTCGCGCGCGCGTGTACAGAACTCACACCCCACTGAACCAGTATTGCAAGTGCCAGCTAAGAAAAACAAACGTCTTTTTCTAATAAAAATCCATCTCCGAGGACGATGTCACACTCCAGTTCGCATGTCACTCCGAAGCGATAATGCCTCAAGATCCCTGTGGGTGTGGGGCGAGTGGTAGTGTCAACTACACAGCAGCAAACTAAACTCTAAACTATATTTATTTTACGAGGTACGGCCTCGCTGAGCTGTAAAGCTCTTGTTTTTTTAGAAGCGACCTTCCTGCCAAAAATTATGGCTCAACGAAGCGGCTCATCATCATCATCATCACGTAGAAATGAATAGCAGCAGCTGTCAAAATACTCTTAAACTCCACGCGTGGTGGTGGTGATGTCGATTCTAAATGTGGAGGGGGAAAAACCGGAGCACCTGGAGAAAAATCCAGGGAGTGAGAGAGCGAGAAAGGGACCCGAAAACTCGAAAATATAGCAAAGGTGTCAGAAGCATTGCAAGTGGACCGACCAAAACGTCACCTCCATTTCACCCAACGTCCTCGGCTACTGCCATCAACATGCGCGAACTCCGGATCATTTGGGGGGGGGAGGGGGGTAGAAAAAAAAACACACACAAAATCTGACAAGATATGTCTCTTTGGTTTAAAGACATTTTTTAAAAAACTTGATTTTAAGCTTTCGTGACTACAGGAATTCATGCTCTCTGGTTCTTTCGGGGAAGTCACGTGGGTAGAAAAAAATAATAAAATAAAATAAAACACGACGTCGCAACACAAGCGTCCGTCTTCAGGTGAGACATTTTTAAAAAAGTTGGTAAAAAAAAGTTTTTCAATGCACACACAATTTCATTTTCACCCTAAGGTGCAACATCTATTATTTTGACCACAGAATTAATCGCATTGGATGTGCCGATTTAAAAGTGGGTGGCATCCTTGAGCAAAATGTTTCTCTTTATGCAAGCAACCCACTTTTATTCGGCATGTGAAATGCGATTAATTCTGGGGTCAAAAACACATTCCTGCTGCGGAGGGAGCTGGTAGGAACGTCGGGTTGCTCGGTCAATGGCCTGCAGGGTCAACGGCAGCGTGGTGTATTCCGCAAATATGCCCGACTGTGAGGGCGGGCACAAGCCGGCGTGAGTAGGTTAAACGTTGAGTTTTATAAGGGCACCACGGGGTGACCAGCCCCTCCCCACCCAGCCCACCCCTCCCACCCAGCCCCTCCCCACCCCACCCTCCCCACCCAGCCCCTCCCCACCCTCCCCACCCAGCCCTTCCCCACCCTCCCCACCCAGCCCCTCCCCACCCCACCCTCCCCACCCAGCCCCTCCCCACCCTCCCCACCCAGCCCTTCCCCACCCTCCCCACCCAGCCCCTCCCCAACCTCCCCACCCAGCCCCTCCCCACCCAGCCCCTCCCCACCCTCCCCACCCCAGCCCCTCCCCAACCTCCCCACCCAGCCCCTCCCCACCCAGCCCCTCCCCACCCTCCCCACCCAGCCCCTCCCCACCCTCCCCACCCAGCCCCTCCCCACCTCCCCTCCCCACCCAGCCCCTCCCCACCTCCCCTCCCCACCCAACCCCTCCTTCCCCACCCAGCCCCTCCCTGCACGACGGACACAATAATCCCCTGTGGGCTGGTGTAACCAGGAGGTTCCTACCAGTATAATTGGTTTTGTACTTTAGAGTGCAAATTAAATTGCGTGCATTGAAAACTTTCGTCATTTTTTATTACCTAATTTGTGTAATTACCCTGTAGAGACGATAATGATGGCTCTGCCTATGCCAACCCTCGTCCAAGCAATAAATAAAAACGTGTACACATTGTATTCAGCCATGATCCCGAAAGCTTCCGTGTTAAACGGCAGTCAGATTGCAAATGTTGCGGTGGGTTCATGCTCCAATACACCACCGGTGTGTACTGCATTAGTAAACTACACTGTACACTACACTATACACTACACTAAAATGTGTGATTATTAATTATAAAAATTAAGTCAATGACACGAATTGGCACTGAACGTCAAAATAGGTTCACTGTGTTGACCGAGTAGGTACCAATGGCTCAAGTAAAGTCTGGCTGCACTGCTGATGAGACACGTGAATGTCGAAACCAGTGCACAGTGTTGATCGTGTGGGTACCAATGGTTCAACTAAAGTCTGGCTGCACTGCTGATGAGACACTTGGACATCGAAACCGGTGCACAGTGTTGATCGTGTGGGTACCAATGGTTCAACTAATGTCTGGCTGCACTGCTGATGAGACACTTGGACATCGAAACCGGTGCACAGTGGTGATCGTGTGAGTACCAGTGGCTCAACTAAAGTCTGGCTCCACTGCTGATGAGACACTTGAACGTCGAAACCGGTCAACAGTTTCGAGACTGCGAGAGGTTCGAGCCGAAACGTCGCCCCGGAAACGCGCACAGCGAGGCCGCTTACCTCGTCAAAAGGCGCCGTGCCACGTGCTGTTACGTGGGTCTCGCCTTCATTGTTGTTGTTGTTTACTCGCGGCGTGGCTGCTGCTGTTGTTGTTGTTGTTTACTCGCGGCGTGACTGCTGCTGTTGTTGTTGTTGCGAAACAATTGGAGAGGGCTCGGGGCCTATCAGACAGAAGCAACCAAAGGACGGCGGCGGCGGCCACGCGCGCGCGCGCACACAGAAGTCGTGGTCCATGACAAATCACAAGCGGCGAATCGATTCTAGGGATTTCCTACCGAGGGAATCGAAACCTTGGCTCGATCCGCAGGTTGTTGGAGCGCGCGCGGCGGAATCGATTTGCGAACGATTCGGCTGTCGTAGGCGGGAATCGATTTTGTAACGCCAGTTGATTGAGGGGGGGCATGTAATCGATTAATTTAGTAGAGGGGAAACTGTTGACGGAATCGAAACTTTAAGATGAATGGGTTATCGATTCGTTTAGTCGCGATTCGCTATCTCAACAAAATTATTTGAGCGGGATGGAATCGATTCCTAGGAAAATAAGAAATCGGAATCTATATTTAGACAAATCAGAATTAAAATCTATATTTAGACAAATCAGAATGAAAATCTATATTTAGACAAATCAGAATGAAAATCTATATTTAGACAAATCAGAATTAAAATCTATATTTAGACAAATCAGAATGAAAATCTATATTTAGACAAATCAGAATTAAAATCTTTATTTAGACAAATCAGAATGAAAATCTATATTTAGACAAATCAGAATGAAAATCTATATTTAGACAAATCAGAATGAAAATCTATATTTAGACAAATCAGAATTAAAATCCATATTTAGACAAATCAGAATGAAAATCTATATTTAGACAAATCAGAATGAAAATCTATATTTAGACAAATCAGAATGAAAATCTATATTTAGACAAATCAGAATGAAAATCTTTATTTAGACAAATCAGAATGAAAATCTATATTTAGACAAATCAGAATTAAAATCCATATTTAGACAAATCAGAATTAAAATCTATATTTAGACAAATCAGAATAAAAATCTATATTTAGACAAATCAGAATGAAAATCTATATTTAGACAAATCAGAATGAAAATCTATATTTAGACAAATCAGAATGAAAATCTATATTTAGACAAATCAGAATGAAAATCTATATTTAGACAAATCAGAATGAAAATCTATATTTAGACAAATCAGAATTAAAATCCATATTTAGACAAATCAGAATTAAAATCTACATTTAGACAGATCAGAATTAAAATCCATATTTAGACAAATCAGAATTAAAATCTATATTTAGACAAATCAGAACTAAAATCTATATTTAGACAAATCATAATTAAAATCTATATTTAGACAAATCAGAATGAAAATCTATATTTAGACAAATCAGCATTAAAATCTAAATTTAGACAAATCAGAATTAAAATCTACCACCACCACGTGACTTTTCTTTCGAAGAAGACGTGCTGCACATCACCGGCATGTGTGTGGTACATGGCGTGCTCCAGCCGGAGCGACGCTCACAACAACGAGCGGAGCGCCGGGTGGATAAAGCACAGCAAGTTGGCACAGTAGGGGGGCACAGGTGGTGCATCAGCCAGTCATCTCGGTCATCTCAGTCAGTCGACCCGTGGCACCTGGGTCTGCCCCGTGACCTCCTGCCAGCGGGCATTCGACACTCCACGTGGCCTCAAGGTGCACATGGCCTGGCACAAGCGTCGTGGTGACGTCACCGCCACTTAGTGGCGAATGGCGCTTGTTGCTCCAGCCGAAGCCGCGCCTTGAGCAGGCCCCTGACCACTGGAAACCCCCACAGAGAGCCGTGCAGGTAGCTCACTGGGAGCATTACCTGGCAAACCCAAAAATAATTGGTTTAGTTTTTGTTTCGTTTCAGCATCTGATCGCCTGTTGCATTGCTGGACAGTGCAAGACCCTTTATTGTTAAGCGACATGTTGACTCGGGTGTGGACCCATCAACTTCAGAGTTGTGTTTTTGTTTGCATTATGGCTGTAGGTATTGTGGTCTATGCAAACATGACTCCTTGTAAAAAAAAAAGGTGTCAGTTTTGTTGCCAGATAGAAGGGTAAAAAACCAATTCTCATATTTTTTTACTGGCAAATGAGGTTCCAATGATGTTGACCAACGATGGGGCCCTTTCCTCTCCGTCCGATACGGGGGGGGGGTCCGGGTTCAACGACCCAACAAAGACACAACAACGACACCACAACGACGCAAACTTGCAGCACGTGTCTCTGTGCACGGAATGTTACACATTTGGACGCATTCGGCAGGCCAGGAGGCTATTCTTAGATTTTGAGTTTTCGCGACTGCAGTGATCCATACTCATCTTTCGGTAAAATCGCCCTCTTCGGCAATTGTTTCTTGCTGGGGTTGTCCCACCTGATGTGTTTATACCTACGTGACTTTACCGAAAGAAGAAAAGAGTATGAGGCTATTCCTGGCACGAGTTCCACTCCAGAGGAAAGTTTACGAAGACGTGGCCCAGAGAATTATGATACTCCGACTGATGCTCCTGCTGCTGTTGTGGAGTGACTCATGCAGCCAGCTATGGCTGCAGGGTTTTGGGTAGTACATGTTGTTTATGTACCGTTTATTGTGAAAATTCCGTCACAGTTCCTATGATCACTGTTACATTGCTTTTATGGCTTTATTTTGATGATTTCGAAAAGTTTTTTTGGTTTGGCCATGTTTGTTTGTTGTAGTACGGAGTTAGACTGATGGCCTTAATCTAAGTTGTCTTGTGGTTGTTGTTGTTGTTTGACTTGCATCCCACTGGGATTTGTGCACACAGCGTTGGTGTACGGTGCTTTTTCTGCAATATTTTGCTGTCTTTTCTTGGATTTTCTCTTTGCACTTAGTCACATAGTCACTTTAAGATGTTTTCTTGTTCATGTTTTTGTTTTTTTGTTTGATGCTGTTGCACCCGATTCAAGAGCCGAATGGCTCACAGGGCTACACCTAATACATGAACTTGAACTTGAACCACACAACTCCTTCACCTCCAGCCCACGGCCGCACCGTCCCGAACTGGACATCTTCTGAGTGAAGAGCTTTACAGTTCATCGGGTTTCTCCCCATCGGAAGTAAACGGAGATTCTGTCGGATGTTTGTTGACATCGTAAATCGTTTACACCATTGGAACCTCATTTGCCAGTAAAACATATAATAATTGCTTTTTTTACCCTTTTATCTGGCAACAAAACTGACACCTTTTTTTTACAAGGAGTCTGTTTGCATAGATCACAATACCTGCAGTCATAATGCAAACAAAAACATAACTCTGATGTATGCACTGTCCTTTTGGCGTCATCTGGTCCAACACCATGTGAGACTCGGCTCTAAGGAAAGCTGTCTCGGGTGTGGACCAATCAACTTCAATGACAGTGCATACATTATCAGAGTTATGTTTATTGTTTGCATTATGGCTGCAGGTATTGTGGTCTATGCAAACATGACTCCTTGTAAAAAAAAAAGGTGTCAGTTTTGTTACCAGATAAAAGGGTAAAAAAAACTATTATCTTAATTTATCTGCTGTGCGGTTATCGGTAATTCAGTGTCAACATCTCCATTCTATTGCGAGAATGCTGCTGTTGTTGTTGTTGTTGTTTCTGCTGGCTTGCCTCAATGTTGGTGAATCAGACTTGTATGTAATTGATGTATGGATTACGTATTTGTAGTTATTGACGTTCTCTACGTTTGCATTTTGTTTTGCTGTTGTAGCTTTGCTGTGACCCGTGCCCATAACTGGACGTCTGTTGTAAAAAGAGCTCCCTCCCTCTCTCTGCCTCCGCCCCCCTCTGTCTATTTAAGGCCTCCCCACAGAGACGATCACCCCTCTCTGTACCTGTGTTATTCTCTCTCTCTATGTATCTTGGTGATATCTGTCTGCTTATATGTCTGTCTGTGGTTTTCTGGTTAGATTTTGTGTCGCTATTTCATTATACCTGATGATTGCTTGTGTTGCAATCGAAACGTCGTATGCTAGTATTTAATTTATTATTTATCCTTATACGTGACTTTACCGAAAGAACCAAAGAATAAAAAGAGCTTTATAGCTAATCGGATTTCTGCTGCTGCTGCTGCTGCGGTCTAAATAAAGATTTCGCGGAAGGTGACGTCATCGCGGTGGAATGTAAATTGTTCCACTGGAGACGATGACGTCACCCGTGTTGTTTCCGTCTCCGTTACACCTGGACGGGTGGCGCGTGACGTCACGTGCAGGCGAGAAAGTTCGGGCTGAACGATTTTGGGGGACTGATCTAATTGGGATTTTTTTCTGACAGATGTTGCGATTTGATTTGCGATTAAATCTTTTTAAAGTCAAGCTTCAGTCCAATACTCATTGTGTAATATATTTAAAAACATGTGATGGGGCATTACCACGTGATACCATCAAGATATGAACTGCTCTTTAAATTCTAATGCAAGGATGATAACTTAAAATATATCCATTGCTTCCAACGTGTATTTATTCAAATGTTTTAATGGGAATAGAACAATGAAACATATAACAATTTAAATTTCTATTTAAAGCTTTCGTGACTGCAGGGATTCATCTTCTTGGTTCTTTCGGTAAAGTCACGTAGAAGGGAAATAATAAAATAATAAAAATAAAACATAATAAAATACAATTCTCACGACGTTTCGGCCCCAACGCAGCCGTCCTCAGGTGAAGAACAGGTCTGTCGGAAAGACAGCGTCATTTCAGACACTGTCTTTATTTTATTATGTTTTATTTTTATTATTTTATTATTTCCCTTCTACGTGACTTTACCGAAAGAACCAAGAAGACATAGAACAATTGTTAAGTTTAATAAATAAAGTTATCATAATACAAAATCAAACAATTTCAATGAGAAAGTTATTGGACTTTTCAAATTGCAAAAAAATCGCAGCCTTTGAGATTTGCTAATCGCATTGCTTAAAATTTCGATTTGAAATCGATCAATCGTTCAGCCCTAGTCCATCACCTATAGGGGGGCAAATGAGTAGAAGGGTTTCCCATCAGCATCAGCCACGGAGCACGGGTTGGTGGGAGGCGGAAGGACTTCTGGGGTTAAACTTTCAACTTATCACCGCAGGGATATCTTTCGATTTAAAGCTTTCGTGACTGCAGGGATTCATCTTCTTGGTTCTTTCGGTAAAGTCACGTAGAAGGGAAGTAATAAAATAATAAAAAT